ATTTTAAAAAATAAACTGAGGAATAAAATGAATTTGGACACTTTGAATTTACTTCTTCATATCCGAACAGGGCTCAAAAACTTAAATAAAAATTGCCATACATATGAAATTCCCCAAGAACTTCTTAAAAAATTGGCAAAAAAGATATGTATTCATTTAAATTGAAAAAGTCTGACAGCGAAGAACCTTCCACTTCCACGGCGGCTTCAGCGTCAGTACAACGAGAAGCAGAATCAGCAGTATTGACAGACGATAGTGAAGATGATTGGATGTAGTTTTAAATAATTATTATCATATTAAACCAAAATTAAATTAATTATATCTTTTTTTCATGTCTAAAAAAATAGCACTATTTTTGATATTTTTTATCAATCTAGCACTATTTGAGATGTCATTTAGCACCTACCTAAGAGATCGAGTTGGCAACACTGACTGCGTAGTGGACTCACTGTTATTTAAAATTTTCATCATACATAAGCAAAATATTTTTAATAAAACAAAATGGTCGACGTTTGAAATAAAATGAAGAATATTAAAAAAAAGATAAACTGAAAATATCTCAAAAATGATTTATCTGATGGAAAATAATAGAATAGCGAGGAAAATTATTAAAACCCATCTGGCAATGGGGCCGCTTAAAGGTAAGTAGTGAGTTTATTTATTAGTCAATCGTAAGTTACGTATTTTGTTTATAACTTCCAATTAAGAGTTTATATTTCGTATTTACCCGACAACTGACCAGCCGTGGTGTATATGAGCGACAGAAACTTTAAAATATTAATTATGTTTCAGCACGAAACAAGGGATACCTAACATCTGGATATATTGTAAAAAATTTAAGAATATTATCTTAAAAAAAGATAAAAGATGATGTCACGCTAAAAGTGATTCTCTCAGCAAATGGGCTACGGATTCAAAGTAAACAGGATGGATAGGTGTCTTAAATTTTCAAAATGTTACTAAAGGTAACCAAGGTTAATACCAATGTTTTCATATAATATTTTGTTGAGTAATTATAAAATAAAAGGGTACCTATCTATAAAGAAGAAAAATTAGTGTTTATATATTTATTCATTTGTGTAAGTGCAAGTGTTGGTACTTTTTAGATGCCATGAAACTACTATTGCAACCTTTTTAAGTGATTCAGAGGTCAAACACACATAACAATATTACCTATGTTTTTACTAACACTCATAAAAACTTGCTTCTATTAAAACTATTTTAGAAATATAATAACTATCATAGTAAATAAATAGGAATAAGTAGTGTCTAGAAAAACAGTTAACAAAGTTTGTTTGTTGGCAAATTTGAAGTCAAATGTAATAGGTTAAATTGAAGCGACATTGTAAAGAATAATGAAATTGTTGGTTAAAAATGTCAATTAAAAAAAAATTTTAGGTTTCCTATATGAGAAGTATTAATTTTAACTGATCAAGTTGAATTTAATTTAATTGTTCAGATTTCAGAATACAAGTATAAATAATCATGTTAGGTATGTTGGATCAAATATATAAGCTTTCAATTGCTCAAATTCATACCATTTCAAGTGATCAACGTTAATTTTAAATGTTGGAAATGACATTGCCATAACTTATTTAATAAACATAGAAGCAGTCAAAAGATAGTTATTGCTGCTGACTACACTTTAGCACTAAACATACCCTTTATGGGTCTTGGATGTGTTTCATTAATAAATAATTGTTTTTAAAGTACATACTTGGATTTGGATTTTTGAGTCTAAATATAGGTGTGCTCAAGATTTTTTTTATTCATAGTACTGAATCAAATACTGTGTGCGAAATTACTAAGCCTTGTTACCATAAAACTTTTAATAATATTTGGCTTAGTTATAATATTATCAAACATGTTTTTAAGATACTTTACTTAGAAATACAAAGATATCCCATATATAAGTTTTTGTGTGTTTTATGCAAGTTTTTTTATTATTTTCCTTACTTTACAATAATTCAATTGCTACGCAATATTATTGTGTCAGTACAGTGACCTACCACATCTCCCTATTTATAATTTTAACAGATAACCATTGTATTTCAGCCATTAGCGGTAGTTGTCAAGAATGAGGAAGAAAATTACCAATTATTGAAATGTTAAGAAGAGATATTAAACCGAGACCACTAATCTATTTTGAATGCAGTTTGGACAACTGATTTTTATATGAAAAATTGTATTACTGTGTTTAAGATAATTGTGTACTTCATAATAATTTTTTTTGTATCTAATAATATTGTTATATTAATAAAATGATTAATTAATTCTACCACTTATTTAATGACTGCCTATAGAAAACGTAGTAACCGAGTTAAATACATAGCTAAACCAAAATGAAAAATATATAAGCCATGTTACTTTATAGGTTAATAAAAGAACAATATAATAACTTACACATTTAATTTAATGATTATAGTAAACTTTTAACACACTACAAAATAACTTTCAGTAAAACAAACTTAAGTATAATAAAAACTAATTCAAACCCAGCCTCACATAGAGCTAATCAATAACATCTACTTTATTTTGTAGACAAATATATTTCCTAATTAGTTTGTAAAAAGTAATAGTTATGAACGATAAATTTAAAAAAGCTTAATAAGTACTTAAACCATCATGTATGTAATGATGGTATTTCATACTTGTGTAAAGCAGAATAATGTTTTTATCCAAAACCTTAATGTTATATCAATATATTTTATAAAAATATAGGAACCGAAATTGTACTGTGTTATCATTTATTATAAATTGAAGGATAAGTAGTCCAAATTCAATAATTTGAAAATGTCTGCACTATTGTGTCTTTTTATATCCAGGGGCCTTGTCGTATGATACAAATGTAATATTCTTCTTCTTCAAAGGCACAATGTATTTTTCTTTCAGGAATTTTGAACATTTGGGGATCTCTGAAATTATTGAGATTTTTAATTTTAGTATAGTAGAAAAATACAAATATATTACAAAATTTACCTATCTTAACTTATTTATCGTTTTCTGTTCGACTTATCTCTGCTGGAGACGAGACATGATCAAGACTGCATCGAAAAATTGGTTCTAGGATAAAAATGATATTTTTAATGCTAAAATAATCAAAATGTACATTTAAGTGAGATGAGATGTCAAATGGTATGTATCAGAATACCAAATACCAACAATTTTGGAGCGTAAGTGTAGCAGTGCCAAATTTTAGTTCCAAATGTGAACAATCTCATTTGAGCGGCGCTTTTGTCGCGGTTATTGTTTATCAGAATACCAAATTGTAACATGACACCGAAACGAACGATTTGACAGCAAAAATCAGCGCTGCGAGTGTGTGAAGCGAGTTACAGAATCGCAGGGCAGTTCTTTTCTTCCGTTCTACGCCCTTGATTTGATAACTGGCAGTAAATGTAAAATTAGAAGCATTAATATGTATTTCTTTAATGACGAATCACAAGTGTACATTGTGTTACCTACGTGAATAAATGATTTTTGATTTGATTTGATTTAGCGTCGCAGCCCCATTACCCCTAATTTTATGTTAGATATAAGCTCATAATTCAAGCCAGCTAACACCCAGGTTCAAACAAAGAGTTTAATTTAATATTAATAATTATTTGAACATACCTCAATCAACCGCCTAGGGATAAGATTTAATTTTATGATAATTTATCTCAATGTCGATACTAATAGAAAATGTTCCTTTATCAAGGATATTAGGTCCAACAAGAACAATGTATGTAAGTGAATCGCATACGCAAGCTAAAAATAAATAATCAAATTAGAAAATAACCCAAGATAAATATTTACCTATTCCCGATATATTTGGTCCTTTTTCCACTTTCTCGAAATCAGCAAGCTCCTAAAGAGAAATAGTTCATATATATAAATCCTTCTTGCTTAATTAAAAAAAATTGTAAACCATAAATTTGGGAATTACTTGAATCATATCAGCCACAGAAACCATATCTTCTTTCGTCGCATGTCGTATTTTCGTACCGCCTTCCATAATAACAACTCGCACGTAAAAACCCTTCACGTTTTCGCCACTAAACAATAACTACGAAGCTTTATAATCTTTAATGTTATCAGAAACACATAATATTCGGCATCTCATACAATATAAATAACCGTACAACTTATATTTAAATTAGAACGTATGTACTAGTATGGGCGTGCACAGCGCGTTAATTGCATTTGTTAGTCCTAAATGATAGTTCATTGAACGAGTCATGTGATGACAATATCAGTACATTATGTTGTATTGTGAGACTCCTACATTTTAAGAAGGTAAATATTTTTTATAGCAACTGCTAAAAATGAACCTCCCGAGATATTAAAATAAAGTCAATTAATTTTTATATAACAATAAAATATTATCTAATTTGTATTTTAATTAGTGATGACCGTCTAGACAGCCAGCTGGGCACTTTCATATGTGGCGAATAGCCGTTTTCGGCAACTATAAACTATTTGGCGAGGACCTATAAATATTATATAATATTAATTACATACAACATTTAAAAAAAAGGTGTCTTAATAAATGTCTTTATTTTCTGAGTCTTAATCATTTTTATGGAAGGTAACCACACTTGTATTAATAATCAGTGTCTAACACTATTTACTTGCAAGAACAAATTATGTATATTTATTATGACATTAGTTAAAACAAAAAAAAATTAAGCAAGCCAGTAGCCAATGTTACTAAGCTTGCTCATATGTATGTACATGTGTAAAACAGAACTTTCTACATATCAATTGATTTATAAAAAGTAAATGAATTTATCAGACTAATCATTTATAATTTTTTTCATGATATAAATTCAACCTGCAAGACTGTTATGCCTATAAGATGTATGAAAAATTAGGACTAATGGGACATAGAGACAGAGACAACATAGAGTTTTTTATTTACCTTTGCTTTATTTTAAACTTTATCACAGTAGGTTCAATTTATAAAAAGAATATTTAAATGCACTTTGGTGATATCACCCAGTAAGTCTTGTTGTGTCTTATGAGTCAGCTTCTTTAGCGGCCTGTTGCAAAGAATCTCCAGACAGTCGGTAGTAACACCACTGTTCTGAATTGGTTAAATTAATAGCCCCCTTCCTTTCATAGAATGATCTTGCATCATTCCACTCCAGCACATGAAATTCCAGTCGTGAACATCCTGATGATGAAGCCTCCTAAAAAGAGTTGCATTTTATACTATTTTCACATTTTGTACTTGTTACATGTTAGTCACCATCTGTGTATGGTAGAGGATAACATTATAATTTGTAAGATTTATGAATTTCGTATATAGTTTTTCTTTTATTTACCCGATTTTACCCGAACTGCCCAGGTCAGAAATTTATGGTGGCATTTGGATGAGGCCTTTGTCAATAAAAGGCAAACAGACAAGGTAAATATTCAACTATATTTAAGTTAATTTTTAAATACTAAACATGTATAATATTCTAGCTGAAGTAAAATTGTATCTTGTCTGAATAAAGGTTTATATTATTATTATATTTTCTTTTATATTAATAAGAAAAAGGGAACCTTGGCAACAGCATTGAAGAGTTTTTTGCCTACTCCACATTTTCTATCACTAGATCGCACATATAAGTCCTCAAGCATCATGGCACGGCCTTGCCATGTTGAGTATGTAGGGAAGTACAAGGCATATCCCACTATAGGATTCTTGGCATTTTCCTGAACCTCTGCCACTAGGCATTGAAAAGCTGGAGGCTTTGCTTCGAATCCATCATGCTGGAGATCTATTGTAATGAGAATATCTTAATCACTGTTTACAAAGGAAACTTGAATTAATAATAATAATAATAGTCTTTATTTCTTCTCTCACATATACATACAAGGTTATTATGATTAAACTAAGATGATAAATTCTTTTTCTAATCACCTTTAGCAGATATTTTGGGGCCATCTGACATCTTCTCAAAATCAGCAAGTTCCTAAAAATAATTTTAGAAATTTTAGTGTTAGAGTTATGCACTGCAAACTTGATATAAATTAATGTGTGTTCAAACTTGAATCATTTCAGCAACAGCATTCATGTCTTCACGTTTCGCGACACGAATTTTAATATCACTGTATTTTTTATTTTCACCCATTCTGTCGCTTTTTGTAAATTTCGCAGGAACTTCGAGGTCTATTTTTGTAATTTATTTGAATTTTTTTAATGTCACATCACATGACACATGTTACTTGCACAGATTCAATAGAATTACTTGCACAGTGCACACTGCACAGACTAGTTGTATTAGTTTATAATTTGTTTATTAGAACAGGGGGCAAGCGGGCAGGAGGCTCATCTGATGATAAGTTACCGCAGCCCATGGACATTCATGTCATACTTTCCCATACTCTCATTACTAAAGTACGGCGTCTGTACGTAGGGCGTCTTACTGCCTGATGCTTTCGGCCAGCAATTCCGTTGATTTTTAGAGGTGTAGTATCTTTCCATAATCTTTAATATAATATAGAATCGCCCTCGTTACTCTCGCTTCATCTACTGCTTCTTCATATTCTTTCTCTATCTGCAAGTAGTTCTGAACAAGTTCTGGTTTTCTGGCAAGCCTCGCGCTGCCAAACATTCTTAATTTCATATTCGCGGTATGCCTTTTCGGCGCTTCCATGAGTTCGTTCCACCAGGGTATTCCTTTCCCAACATTCTACCATTTCATCTTATCCCAGAATTGCTCTGCTACTCTATGGCATCTGATTGAGTTAATCACAAACTATTTTTAGTAGGTAATTAAAAAAAAATTTGCTACGATTTTTTTAAATATACGTTCATCCCTGAATCTTAAAAAACTTTGTCGTAGAAACTTAATGTTAAAAACGTAGTCTTCGCCTTTTTTATATAAACTATTAAGTTCTACAAATTTTAATCTGAACTAAATCAGTCTAACTTTAACCGTTTTCGAGTAATTATGAAAAAACACTTTTACGTAAGTAATACTTTTTTCGGACACCTTTGTATCCTTTAAACTACATTATATCAAAATTAAAAGTTGAGCGGCGAAATTTTGAAATACATACGTATGTATACAACTGTAAAAAAAATGTCTCGCATCGTAGTTATTCTACCGTAAAGACTGGGAGATCCATATAATACCAAGTCGGTTGATTTATTCAGTCCCTCATTAAGGAATCTGCTGTCTTAAGTAATAATTATTATTATTAGCCAACTTGACAACATCTTATAGTGACCATATCAACATCTTTTAGTGGCCCGAACTGCTTCGAGATAAGGATAGTACGCCCGTGCCGCTCTTTTACTCGACTTGGCGGGCGCACTGCCGTGCCCCCAGATAGAGCGCGCATTTAGAAAAAATATCCAACAAAATCTTTTATGCTATGGGTGAATAGCGAAATATACAATAGGTGTATTGCAGTACCAACTAACTTTTCAGACACTAAAATAAAGGAATTATCTTTATTTTGATAACTGTTTTGTGTGTAATACTCACTGTCATTAAAAATATAATAAAATCTCTTTGGTTTATGGCACAGAACAAGCTCCAAGAGCAACGGATGAATAGTGGCATTAAGATGAACCATACCTTGTCTTATTAGCCGCACAATTATTAGATATGAAATAATATTAATATGCTGCTAGTAAAATAAAAATCAGCAACAATAAAACACATCTTTTCAATATGAAATTTATTGCGAGTAAAGTAGGTATTTAATTCTTGAACTAATATTATATTTTTACAAGTATTAGATAAGTTCTTAGTTCCATTATAAAAAAAGAAAATAACATAGTCTAGCATCTGAATATAAAAATATTCTATAATAATGAATTAATCTACTTATATATTTACAATTTTTAATATTAACTAAAACATAAATAAATCATTACCATCCGCCAGACGTAACTAACTTCATTAATAAAATGTAAAAAGCCATAATTGTGATGAAAGTATTATTTACATTACATACATAGCTTGTGGATTCTATTAATTTGACTTAAAATAATATTTCAATAGTAAATAACTGATTATTTACAGAACCTTAAGGGCTGACCCTTAGGGTATTTGTTACACCTTAAAGTAACAGATAATGAACAATATTAAAAGAAAGGATTATAATTTGATAAATCATAAAACTAGAGATCAATTATGTTGACTTACCAGAAACTATAAAGTAAAACACATCGCAGACTATCATTATTTTAACCGATTTAAATATAGGACGAACCACTCAGACCCTGTTTCTATATCCAAAATACGAGTCGTAACTACGAACCATCGATTTCTATATAGAAAATTTAGACATTGAAACCAATGGTAAACAGTCATATATTTAAAGGGCCATTTCATGCAATAGGAAGACAAATATGACGAAATAGAACGAGGTATTGAAACGATTAGTGACGTCACAATTGGATTAGTGACGTCATTGCGCATAGTCCTGTCTTAACCCAAACTCCGCAGCGTACGCGTTGGTCCAGGCACTGATCGGGTCCGCTGAAGCTATAATTGTTAATTAATTTTAAATTAGTAATTGTATATGAATAAATAATATTATTGACTTAGTTCCCTTTGGAACTAGAACTAGGAGGTAATAAAAAGAAAGAAATCTCTATCCGCTATCATTTATTAGAGTCAATGTTGTGTACACCTATTATTAGATTGCATGCTAGAATAAAACCCAATATTGTTAATTAGAAAATGTATACATGTAATCTGTTGGCGTTCCTTAATAAATAAATAAATAAGAAGCCGCTCGGAAAGCGACTGGTCGTACTTGTATAAATGAAATATAATCTTACTGTTTTGCGTGAGTTTATGCGCAGTGGCCGGCGAAGAACGCGCTTCAGGACTTTGCGACTCTTTTGTGTCCGAATCTGGAATTAAATTAAAAAAATTACAAAACTGTGACAACACTTAGTCTTGGCCACAAATATCTGTATTCGTTTCGTGGTCATTTAGTTTTTCTCTAAATAGGTAAGCTGATTTTGCATGCCGTTTTCCCTAACGATTTTTATCTTCATCGTTCGAGCGAAGGATTCGAACTCACGACCGGTTGAGAGTCGCACACACAAGATAACACAGCTTAATATTAATATAATACAGTGATTTATCACCGCTGTTGTTCGAAATACAAATATTTTATTTTATACATTTTGATGAGGGTGATAATATTTGAATTCGGTCGATCGTATCGTCACACTTGATCACTGATTTTGGCGTGACAACGTCTTATAATTCGATGGAGCCGGCTGCACGCACGAAAAAACATGACGCATGCGGCGTTACCTCGCTCTGAGGCGTTCCATTTAAGGCTTGAAGTACAAGCGAGAGCGCTTAACGAGCGACAAAGAGGCACAATCGGCCTCCGCGTTCGGCAGCGTTCCTTCGTTAAAAAAATTGACATAATTGTATTTATGCGTACAAATAAATGTAACTTGATCAATTCAATTGTGATTTCCATTTACCTTCTCTATATCCATACAAAATATATATCAAACAAATAAAATTAAAATTTTCTTTTGAAAAATGCAACCTTTCCATCAGTATTTTCTTATGACGTTGTCAAGTTCAAATATCATCAGTAAAACGACTTCACAGACAATCGACTTTTTTTGTTTCGCTTTGGTTTTTCGGTCATAACTAATAATTTTGCAAGAATAACTGTACGAGTGTCTATAAACACTTAAATTATTTAATGATAACGTTATTAAGTACATAGTTATATGTATTTGGATTAAGTACAAATAAAGACAGTCTTATCATTGTTCTGAAACAGCTTATTAACTTAGCACTTTATTTATTTATTCTCAAAATACTTTACTATATATCTTTACAGTACTAAGCAAATACGATGTCGAAATTAAAAATATAATATATACTATTAAATACATATAATATCGATACTGTGAACTCCTTCTATTGGGTATGTATGTAGTAGACAAATCCAGTACTTCCTCTAAAGATTGCGTTTACTATATCAATAAATTATTTACCATTATTGAACAAATAACCACTCATGTATGATGACAATTGTAAGAAAACAAAATTAATAAACACTCACTGTATGTATCATCCGTTAGAGGCGCTGCAGCTCGTCGCTGCGCCTGCGCCTTGAGCAGCTTACTCATTGTATTACGGGGCGTGGCTGGTGGCCGTTCCAAGGATCGGCCGTGGGAAGTCGACACGTGGCGTTCCAACAAATACCTCCTCTCGTACCGCTCTTGACAGTACGGACATCGGAACATCCGACGCCGTTCGGTTGCCGGCTGATGACTTGGATTAGCTGCGTGCGGATCGTGTGATTTTGCGTGCGCTAGTAAATTGTACCTATAAATTTAAAAAAAAATGGAGCCCTATTGGAAAATCGCCTGTGAACATTCTATTCCTCAAATCCTAATCTAAAGAGGTCCCTCCTTTTCCTTGATATGGCACTATATCGGCCGGAAGCTTTTTTATAAAATTTGCTTTTAACATAATAACATTTTAATAAAGTCAAATATAATCATTTCAAAAGGACAGTGGCAAAACTATTGGTTTATATAACTACAAGCTGACCCGGCAAACGTTGTTTTGCCATGTATATTATTTCTAGGAAACTTCTTTTTAGTTCATTAAAATTAACTACCAATAGTAAAAAAAAGGGTTGATCGTAGAGGGGTGAAAATTAAGGGTTGTACATTGATATACAAGACCCAAGATGCACACTCAACGTCTACAAACGTCTACAAACGTCCTCAAAAAATGAGCGCAACATTCTAAATTGTGCGCTCATTTCAAATAGTCTCGCGTCGCTCGCGTCTAGGATCAGTTGTTAAAAATGCCAAAGTGTTCTGTGAGAAATTGTAAACATATAACGTCAAGAAGGCTAAAAAAGGATGGGATATCGTATTTTCGGTAATTAAAAAACTTTATTGATTAGGTTTTGTTGTTTTTATGACTGATTATAACAAGCAATGTGTGATTTTTATTTATTTTTTCTAAAATCTTCATTCAACGCACAAACTTCTATACGGCCAACTTCAATGGCTGCTTGTTCAGTGTTAGAACAACGCATTACAGTCTTCTTTTTATTTTAGTCGCATTATAAGAATGACCCTGTTCTAATAAGTGGAGTCGATGTTATTTATTTGTGTTTTTTTTTTATAAATAAATTTATGTACTTTTGAACTTTTTTGTGTGTAGTTTTTGACAAATATATTTACGCTATATAAAGTGTAGGTCAGGAGGTAGCCAATTTAACATTTTTTTTAATTTAAAGAAAAAACTTTTTAACCGGATTAAAGTTATGTATTATTATAAATTTACAACTATTTAACATCCAACACCTTTTGTCTTCAGTCACCGTGACCACGCACGCTGTAAAGAACGCGAAACGTCGGATAAATTTAAAATTATGTTAAATAGTTGTAAATAAAAAAGTCATGTTCGACTCCACTCAATACCTTGTCCTACCGACCACGGTCGGTCAAAAAAAATGTGACAACCTGTGACAAGGACGGGGGGAGGGGTTCAAAAGTCCTAAAATTCGTGTGACGTACTTTATGGATGGCCCCTTACAACGAACAAATATTCACGAGAATATTCGCATCGAGCGAAAATTCAATGTCAGTCGCCACCTTTAAAGTTTACCACATCATACGTACAAGTCGTCGGAAATATCTGCGAACCTGGCTTAATGACGTCATACAAACTGGAGAGATAGCAAAAAAATTGAAGATGTAAAAATAAAAAATATTTTATTTGTGTACTTATTTTTATTGATACTCGTACCTACCCATCTTACATACAGCACTAAATAGGTAGTTTATGTAATATTTCACCAAACAGAGAAACAATAAACATTAAAATGCGATTACGAAAGCAAGAATAATACACGTGCGGCGTCGGCGATTGCGTTGGCAACGGTACTGGATAGGCGAAAACGGGGCGGGGTGCGGGGGCGTCAGGGGAAGCGCATTTCAGCGAGGTTCGCAGATATTTCCGACGGCTTGTATATTCTAAATCTACGGTATATAGTAGTATAGTATATGATACAAACTCTTTTATCTAAAATGTATGACAATTTAGATAAAAAATACAATTAAAATTGTATATAGACAACTTAAGATAAAAATTACTGAAATTTTTGGTAAGCACAAAAAAAATACATGCAAAACAGCGGATTAGGTTCGAGATAGGCACTTAACAATGATTTCTTTAAAACCGATCAGCCCACTACCGAATATATCCAATATTATAACAAAAATACCCTAAAAGTCAACAAACTCTATTGAATAAACGTCTTACCGTTCCGAAAACCGCTTTCCGCAAAGTACGCACTCGTGACGTTTCTCCCCGCTGTGTACGCGCTTGTGGCGTTTGAGGTGCGAACGCGTCATTAAGGCCAGACCGCACACATCGCACGCGTGGGGTTTAACCCCCGAATGGGAGAGTTTGTGCATCTTGAAGGACGACGTGTGAATGAAGGACTTGCCGCAGAGGTCGCACTGCAATTGTTAATTTTATCTTTGTTTAATAAAATAATTCCTTCGATATTAACATGAAACGATGTCGTTTGATTGCGTTGGTCCATCGTAAAGTAAACAGCTGTTGACCGATCACAAACAAATGAAACGCGCCATCGCTTTGAGTTTTGAATTGTTTCAATTAGCAATTATCAAATAAACGCCGTCAAAAGTTACAAAATAGTATTAAATCTATGGACTTCTCTAATCTGTGATATAAATATCGTATAATACGACTATGGGTGGAGGGCGTCTATGACTATGACGCTATTAAATTGATTTTTAAATAATTATTAAAAAAACATATGAAGTCATTATTGGCTAGTTTAATATTTTTTAAATATTAACCTGGTAGTTAAGTTTTCCGGTGTGAATATTATTGTGTCGCTGCAGCGCGCCTTTGGACGGGAACAACTTGTTACATTCCTCACATTTCCAGTCGCTTATACCTAAAAGAAAAAAAAATTGTCTATGGCCTCGAATTTCATTAAAATCAAAACAAGTTTGTATGTAGAGTAAGGAATAGCGGGTGAGTTTGTTCCGTTAAATAAGTAATTGGTTAAATTTTTTGAGCCAGAGATTGTAGAATTTTGTAAAAAAAAACGCACGACTTTAGACTGGCCGGCTAGTAAGTCGAATAGTACTAAAAAGCAAGTTTGTATAGTTCCAACAAAGAACTAGATAAATAAGAAAGGTCGTAAATGAAAATTTTATCTATTTTTAGGCTAAGATTCAAAAGCGAGACTTCTTAGTTTTAATTAATTAGTTGACTTATCAACAATTTATAGAATTTTCACATTACTAAGTCAAAGTTTACTTTAAGACACGTTTCTGAATCTCACCCATATTAATAGAAACTATCAAATAAAATCAAATGAGAAATACAAATTAGCACAGTTCTATATTTAGATGAGAGAATAACATTAAATTATTTTAATAATAATCAAATGGATTCTTGGATACCTTTGTGTAGTGCTACATGTATATCGCACGCCCTCTTGTGCTTGTAGTGTGCCCCACACACTTCGCAAATGAAGGGCGGCTTTCCTTCCGCCTCATGCCTTTTATTGTGCTGCTCTAGACGAACTACAACATACAATGTCAATAAGATATTAAATAAAATGAAGTTCCGTTACCTCAAATAGAGCAAGGGATATGTATTTTTCATCATACTTCTAAACGCAAACTAATTATTGTTTCCTTAGTAATTACCAGTATTAAACCAAATCAACTAGCAAGCCGGGAAGATAGTTTTCAAATAGTAGTTATACTCTTGACGAAGCAAACATTACTAGAGAAGGACTTTGAATAGCCCTTTAAGATAAGAATATACTTATTTTCAAAAGGCCGGCAACGCATTTGCGAGCTGGCGTGTTTATGATACAAGCCTCATCTCGTTACTGTTGTCTTAGAGATTATTATAATTATGATTTGTGATAGTGGAATAACTTTGATATTTTGAACTCAAAGTCCAGTTGGTTAGGCTTAGTCTCCATCAAGAAGGTATGTAAAATAATTAAAAATAAGCGTACCAGGCGATGTGAACTTGGACGGACATTTATCGCAATAGAAGTGCTTCTTTGGTTTTGGTTTATTGCGTGCACCTTTCTTTCGCCCTCTTCCCTTTGTACGATCTGCTTCATTTTTATCTTCAACTTCCGGTTCAGGAATGTAGTCCTCGTCATCATTATCTCCAAACCCATCATCTTCAACTTTTAACATATCATCAAGCTCAATATCATGGCTTCTGAAATAAATTGTACAAATCTTGATTTACCTATATACTTGTCATACAGAGGGTTCAAAATTACATCTCGAAACAAATATCCAACTGTCTGGTTTATAAAAACATTGGAGATTCATGAGCACCTAAAAATCAGGACTGTAAAAGAGGAGATCAAGACCTGGAGTATGAAATACAGAAAAAGGCTAGAAATGCATCCTACTAAGCTTGCCACGCAACTAACCACACTAGACCTAATAAATAGGCTTAAAAGGCGACAAATCCTAAGTCTTGATAGACACGGTTGACAGAGTGGAGCAGTCTCCATGGAGATTTTGCTCTGAACGCCTAACACCTCTCAGTATTAAAGGTAAAGTTCAGACTCATGAGCTGTGATTCCTGAATGTCCAAATTTTATCTTACACAGGATACAAACTTAGTCCCAAGTTTTGCTGATATAGCAATTAAAAAACTAAAGATGTACTGTATCACACTATTGCGTTTTAGGTTGTAATTTGAATGATATCAAAAATTGCGGCTAACAAAGTTATTATATAAAAACTGTAAAACTGCAGAACAAAGATCAACAACCATCTTTTGACTAGCAAATTAAATGAGCCCACTTGTAGGCATCCTTTAGCTGTATAGTAGTCACAGATTGAATTTGTTACTTATCATAACAGTACTCCATCAAATTCTATGTAGATACCAACTTGTCATTGTTTTCTTTTTTTATGACTTCATCTTGTAGTGGACCCATATGCTTTAACAGCATGTGTGAAACAAGTCCAGCCTGACCTCCCTTATTGCCTTGTTCATCACACTCTTTACACTCCCAGCTGCAACAATGTAAAATTAAAATAAACTTTAGAAAACCTAATACTATTTCATATTGTCATGAAATCAATATAATTGTAGATTACTAATAATTCATAACACAATTACTTTGCATATATTTAACTATTTAATTGTATAAAATATCGCACACAAGAAGGTAAGGAAGGAAAGTTGTGCTAAGGCTAAGTCAAATTGATCAGACATTCAATTTTAAAATATGTGTACAAAACTTGAGATAATATAGACAGCAACAATACAATTATTTTAATAAATGCAATAACTCTTACCTGAATGCAAGAATTTTTGTTTAATTTATTAACATTGTTGGAAATGAAATAGAAAAACTGGATCAAAAGGCTAAATAGCTTTTATAAAATAATTATCAATGACACCAATAAATAAAATTGGTTTTTTTTCTAATAAAACGAAACTCATTACCTTTCCTCATTTAATTTACGTCTTGTTTTAACAGTCTTCTTTTTATTTAGGTGGGTATCAGGGATTTTTCGTGTCACAGATTTTGGTATTCTTTTCTTTTTCGTTAATGAAAGGGGTTCATCTTCTGAATCAGAAGAGTCTTGGTTTATTGCTTGTAGATTATTCTCACGCTTAACTACGTCGATAGAAGACAGTTGAGCATCAAATAGTGGATTTTTACTAATAATACCTTCAAATGTAACTTTTAATTTTAGGTACTCAGCTTCTGTCTGCTCTAATACATCTACAAGGTCAAAGCAATTCTTACATATTTGCTTAGAGGTATTTTCTGCTGTAATGTCTACTTGTGTGTACTTTGCGAGATACTCATGTAACAGGGTTCCAGCGTGAGTCCGTGTATTAATATCAATAACTTCTCCGCATCGCTCAACACACAGCATACATTCCACATCCTCTTTCTTAACAATTACTCCTTCTTCTTTAATGTTTATATTACCGCTACTCTTCTCTGCGCTCTTATTTTCTTCGATTGACTTAACAATATTAGCATCTTCAACGTCAGTCATCGTAATAGCGAAATGCTACGCTTTAATTTACTAATTCCTATTACAGAGTGATTGTAATAACACTAAAAATGAAGCAGCAAATCATAACACCTAACATTTATCTTATTAATAATTATAAATAAAAACAAGTTAAAATCCAAATCACCCGAAATGCTTTCATTTTAATGACAATTGACAATGTAATCAGACAGATCACAGAAATGCCAAGAGCCAAATGCCTTACCTGCGGGCTATATAGTCTACGAGGCGACAGATGAAAAATAAAGTGTTATTAAGGGAATAAGAAATGTCTTTAAAGGTCAGTACTCACATACGGAATTACTCGATCGAGCTAAACTGTGGAGTAAAACCCATGGCATGGGCTTTCGTCCACACATTGAGCATTGATCTATCGAGTGGGGCGCGCCGTTCAGTAGGTATTCACCGAACCGTTCGAGCCAAAGGATGTCTGTGCAACAAAGGAGACGGTGGCTGTATTTAGCAAGTCTCCCAGTGCTTTATAAGAAAATCAAAGATAATGAAAAGAAAAAATGTAAAAGGAGGTACTGAGCTAATGATTTTTTGGATTACTTAATACTAGCTTAATTATAATTAATTACAATTATAAAAATAATAAATAAAAAGTATAGCAATTTACATGATTTTCATTTAGATTGTCCCTTGTAGGTAAAATCGGACTTGAATCATCTAAAAAATGTAGAAGCTTGAAATACCACAACTTTGTATTATATACTTCTGCAGCGCCACTTCCACTTCGTGATTCATGTGTCTTTTACCTTTCTTTACGATAAGAGGCACGTAGGCTGTTTATATTCTTGACCACGGTTTCTTTATTTGCATCCTGATCAGCAGTTTTAAGCACAGGTAGTAATTTATCATAACATTCATTTCTCTTATTTTTGTGGGAGTAATCTTTGGACTTGACATTCCATAAACACTCACACTGTCTATATGTGTTAATAAAGTCTTCTATAGCGCTTTTGGAATAAACTCGCAAATCCATTTCTCTTAAAAACACGTGTTTTAATCACGATAAACAATACCAGACTGACGCTCGCCTCGCGCCACTCGCAGTCACGTACACAAGTTCGAGTCAAGTTTGACGGCTCGCTTCGAGTAGGTTCGAAGGAAATTACTTTCATTTAATTCCATCGAGCCTTCGAGCTGTGAGTTTTGCGGTCCACACGTTGATTTTTACTCGACTTCGAGTAAAACTATCGAGTAATATCGTATGTGAGTACTGACCTTAAAAGCAATTTAGAGTAAATAATCATTATGTTATCCGTCATTAAACATTTTGAACGAAATATATGAGTATTTCTATAATTTAATTATGTGAATAACTTGAAATCTATTTACATGCTTACAGGCATGATACATCATAGAGACTGGCACGCCACCATCTTGAAAACACAAGCGTTTTTGCGAGTTCTTAAAATTATAAAATATTAATTTTTACTTAACGAAAAGTATCTGTGCTATATATTCGTTTTTTTTTAAATATCACAAAACTAAGCTAATTTTTTTTCTTGCGGCCCACATCGACATAAATAAAATTTAATTTACTGTTAAGCCATTAAACCAAATTATATACACTGTTCTAATTATTGTATGTATTTTATTTTCGATTTAACTTATAGTTTTATATGTATTTATTATTATAGCATTTGAGAAATTCATACAGATGCCAAATTTAAATTATTACTATCGTTAAAATAACTATAGAAATTCATTTTTGGTATATTGATTAATTAGGCGGTAAATTCATTCTTCAGTTTTTAATTTTTAATACTTCGATAATTCAAATCAATAAACGAAATCGTAGTCTTTCTCCGTAATGTACGTTTAGACTTACGTTACTTTTTAATATCTATTAGATTGTAAATATCCTAAATATATTCAAATAATGTTTATTTTAAGGATATAATATATTATATAGGTTTATCACAGATGATGTACACGGTGGGCTAAGTCAGTAATTTTTACTACTTCATTAAATATGTTTATTACTAATATTATAATTTAAAAGGTAGTTTTTTTATATTTGTAACGAAAAATCTCTACAACAACAGGACCGAACTTAAATTATATATTACCGTAAGCATAGTAACTATCAATGCTTAACAAAGGCTATATTTATATCCAAATTGTTAACAGACTAGTTATTTAGTAACTTACGCAATTTGGATTTAATTCATTGGAGATAACCTATTTTTTACTAAAAAATGTATGTAAAAGTTCACCTAGGTTCTTATACCAACCATGACGTCTACCAGATAAAATATTTAGAATTCAATCAGCCAGGCCTAAATTTAATGTCATTCCCGTAGCGCTTCATAAACCGGAACACATCTGACGCAATAAACTTTAGGGCTCCTGTCGCCCTCAACCCTTGTCCACGATCACCACGCGTGACGACGTTCGTACAAGTGCAGTCTTTGACGATCGCTCCATGCGTATAGTTCATTACGGTCGTTCTTTTGTGCTTCAAACGTGTTCATATTTTTTATCTGCGTCTTAAATTTTGGCGCCTAGTTTGTGGTTTTGGCGATATCTTGTCAATTAATACATTTTCGTGAGACAACATAAGTCGAATAATATATAGTTTGATTTGGTTTTCACACAGTTGAAAGGTAAGTTTAGTATTTTTAAAATATTTTTATTAGAAGTTTACTTTTGTATTTAAATTTATTGTTCAGATAGGTTTTTTTATCCTGACTAACTGTAAAACTAATTTAAGGAAATGCTAAATTAATATTTTTTTAACGTGTTACATCGGACAACTTTATTTATAATTTACTTAATAGTAAAAATTTAAATCGATAGACAATGAAGTGAACGAGGAGAAACCCATGTACCTATTAATAATTCTTTTTAATCACACCACAATTAAAAAATAATGTCAACTGTCATCTTTTATACTCGAACAAATAACCATCGACAAAGGCCTATAAAGCGAGTAAAGGAAAGTCTCAATGATAGGTTGCAATTTGATACGTTTTGCATCACACTTGTTTTGCGGTGGTGCATTATGCCAGTACAATGCCCGACATTGTCTGTAATTAAGGTCATTGACCTCTTTAATCTTGATTCCTTGTTTCTACATAACATTGCCCGGCGTCACGTCATCCACAGGGTTGGAGGATCACACATGTCTCATCTAGATAAACCATCCTGAGAAATGACATAATGAATACACAGTTTTCGTATGAATTTGTTTTCCTATTTTATAATTGCATAGCAATTTTTATGTTTAAAATCTCAAAGTATAAAACAGTGGGGTGGACGGCACGGCGCCGACCCTATTTAAAGTGAATTAATTAATTGCATGTTTCTTGGCGATTTTTCTGAGCTACACGTGTGCTATTTTTAATTTAATTAGAATATTTAATGTTTTATTCATTCGTTTTATTCGAGGCGGTTAAATTCTTTTAAGCATATACATAGAAACAAAGCGTTCCCGCAAAGTTAGTTGGAATAAATTATATAATAACAAAGTCCAACCTCAAATAACTACCAAATACGTACTAAAATCTGTACCAGACCTTATTTTAGCTTTAGACATGTTACACCAAAATATCAAGGGCATGTCAGACATTAAAGGTTAATCATCTCATATAAAACGGGGCTACCGTTGGGTGTTTTATTTTAAAATTCAGCCATAACCTGCTCAACAGATGAGGCAGAGAGAGCTGCCGTAGCGCGTCGTAGGCTCAGCCTGCGTGACGACACAACGGGGAGCTCTACATTCATAAATAGCGGTTCATAATGCCCTATACTTATATGTCAACATAACGAGCATAGCACAATTTATCCAAGTTTAGAATATTATTTTCGGCCAGTAAATAAAAAGAAAAAGCTTTCTAGAAAAAAGTTTTTTCGCTGGTTACTTTAGCGTTAAGTGTTTCGGGAACGTATCTAGGACGTTTACTTGTGGTAGGCGATAGGGTGTAGTATCCGGTTTACAGTTGAGTGCACCTGTACTGAGGGGTTCTCCAGTGACGCGGCCCCTTACGTTACGATCCACTGGCCTTCACGCTACAAGCATACTTGTAAAACATACTGACCATTGCTACGCATCATGTGGGTGTAAAAGTCTGTTAAATGTAAGAGAATGTTAAATCTATTCTTCTTAAATGAGTCAAGTCTGAACCTACAATTTGTAAAACGTCATTATTGGTACGTATTTTATGTTAACTAGAAAAAAATTGCCGTGTATTTTTGTCGCATATTTTATGAAAAAAAAACTATTATTTATATAGTAAGCTAGTATCCATTCGGTACCAAATAAATGGAAAAAATACTACGATGTTAGACGCATAGGGTTAGTATTAATTAAACGACGAGGAACGAAAAGGCTGGAAGCAAAGAAATTACTTCCGCAATGACACATTGACATAGTAGAAGCAATACCGATAATTTCCATAGCATTGCGTCTATTGTTTTCAAGAAATTACCGCGGTACGAAAAGGTTAATCTTAATGCGATTGTGTTGGATTTCTAATAAGAAACTGCCTATAGAAACTCATATTACCAACTTTTTTCGTCAAAACTTCTGTAATAACTAATTAGGTATATCTTTTGGGTATAGTAAGTGGCCCGTTATTATCTAAGGATTTGGAAAAACACGAAATATTCATACAAATAAAAAAGTTTAGTTTCTAACTTCTAAATTCTTATTTTTTTCACAACATCAAAAAATCTAAAATTGCTATAAAAAATAGAGCAATAGTTTCCTTTGGAGAGTAAATTAATACTAATTAGTTAATGTAATAAAATTATAATAATTAATTAATTATCTATGGTATACCTAGTCATAAATTTTTCACTTATCTGTGACAGTGCCCGCTTTAGAGTATTAGTCTGTGCGTGTTTCAGACTGGCTTTGGCGCGATTCTTGTGAATTTGATAATAATATTCTGTGATGTGGAAATCTAAAGAACATAATTATATACGTAGTGATTCGACTAAGCTTTATATTATGAACATAGAAATGAAAA